TTACCGATCCCCCGGCGCTCCACCCGCCTCCTCTCCCCTCCCCAATCCGCGGGTGGGCCAAGGGGCGGAGCCGCCGCGCCTGACCCTCTTCGGGTCCGGAGGCGTGTCTGGAGACCCCAGCATGCGCACCAAAAGTCGCCTCTTCTCCTGACTTTCTCTTCAGCCATTGGGACCAAGAGAGAGAGAGAGAGAGAGAGACCCTCCGGCTGGAGGTATCTCCCACCTCCGCTCCCTCCTTTGTTTTTGCGCCTACCTTCAGGAAAGGTGGGCATCACCTCTCTCTCTCTCTCTCTCTTGCTCGCCCATGGCTGAGGAGAAAGTCAGGAGAAGAGGTGACTTTTGGTGCACACGGTCTTCTTCAGGCCCGCCTCTGGACCCAAAGCGGCCAGGCAAGGGAGCAAAGCGGCAAGGTGAACTATTATTGGGATGTATACTTCACCTACAATCAAAGAGCATTCTGAACTCCACCAATGATGGAATTGAACCAAATATGGCACACAGAACTCCCATGACGAACACAAAATATATATCAATGATTGGTTGGGGGGGGGCAAAATACTGTTTGCTTACTGTTGAAAATTACCTAGGGCCGCTTCTGCCAGGGAGTAAAGTTACAAGGCACGGAGCTCTCACGGGGAATTTTTGCAGGGGAAGTTGGTATCACTGCCATGTAGCAGTGGAGCTTGGCTGAAGGTGTGCTCCTGTCCTGAGTTGCCCTACAAAAACAGCCTTAATACAATGTTGAAAGTAAAAGAAAAACGCTTTACTTCAGCAAACACAAAGGATAAGCAGATGCAGTTGAAAAATGCAAAAGAAAGCAAGGAAGTCTTAATACAGACACAAATTAAAGTCTCTTACAAAGTCCCAAAAGAAACAGCAGTCTTCCATCAGACAATGACTTAAATCAAAAAATAGTTTTCTAAGATCTACAGAGACACTCGCTGGAAAACCTCAGCAAGCGAGAGTCCAGAAGTGGCAGGCTCAAACCCAGAGCCTCAATCAATGGCTGATACCCAATGAGAGACTCCCCCCTGGGCATACAGAAAACTAGGCGACTTGGAAGGCGCTGAACAGACTGCGCTCTGGCACCACGAGATGTAGAGCCAACCTTCAGAAATGGGGCTACAAAGTGGAATCCACGACATGTGAATTTGGAGAAGAGCAAACTTACAGGCCACCTGCTGCAATGCAACCTGAGCCCTGCCACATGCACAATGGAGGACCTCCTTGCGGCAACACCAGAGGCACTCCAAGTGGCCAGATACTGGTCAAAGGACATTTAATCAACTACCAAGCTTGCAAACTCTGTGTCTTTTGTATGTTTGTTTGTTTGTTCTGTCAAAAATGTAATACAACTGTTTGGTTGCCTGACACGATAAATAAATAAAATCAGACAACGGGCAATGATCACTAAGTCCTTAGCAGCAGACACAGAGCAGGTTCAATTGGAGTGAAAACATCGGCATTAGAGTCATTGTTACCAGCAAAAGCTGACTGCTCCTGCTTCTGATTTATAGCCCTGAATTCCCACTGCAGGAGGTGCTAGGGCGTCTCCCAATTAGCTCAGCGTTTTTAGCAGTTATTCTAGCTGAACGCCATCTTTTCGTCTCTCTAAAAATGCGGGCACTTTCAAACCCTAATCGTCTGATTCTTCTTCTCCCTCCAATTCCTGAGCACTTCCCTGCTCCCCTTCCTCTTCCGAAGATGGGGAATCTCTAACAGCTCCGGGCTTGCCTGCACACTCCGAGACATGCACACACTCTTGGAGAGTGTGGTGTGGTGTGTGTGGCAGGGCATACAGCCAGGCCTGGAGCGCGCCTGCAGCTGAGCGCATCTTGTTCTAGAGTGAGAGGCACTTGGCTGTAGGCACTGGCAGGTCGATGTGCTTTCTGGGCTTGCTTGCATGCCCCACCACACATACACTCTTGGAGAGTGTAGCGGAGCGTGTGTGGCGGGATGTGTACGTCTGCAGCCAAGCGCCTCTAACTCTAGAGTAAGAGCTGCAAGCACTGGCAGACGCATTCCGGGCCTGCCTACACTTCCCAACACATGCGCACCTTCTTTCCAAGGAGACTTATTTCCTTCCTTCCTTCCTTCCTTCCTTCCTTCCTTCCTTCCTTCCTTCCTTCCTTCCTTCTCTACCCTTCTTTCTTTCCTTCTCTCCTTCCCTCTTGCTCTCCCTTCTCTACCCTTCTTTCTTTCCTTCTCTCCTTCCCTCTTGCTCTCCCTCCTTCCTTCTCTACCCTTCTTTTTTTCCTTCATTCTCTCCTTCTTTTCCTCCTTCTCTCCCTCTTTCTCTCCCTCCTTCCTTCTCTATCTTTCTTTCTCTCCTTCTTTCTCTCCTTCCTTCCTCCTTTCTGTGTATGTGTTTTGTGTGTGTACATGCATATATGTTGTTATATATGTGTGTTTGTGTATATATATGTGGTTTTGCGCGTGCGTTGTAATGTAATTTTTGCCTTTTTTGCGTTTTAAGTCTCTTCTGATGTGTTGTTCAGTGTTTTTATGAGTGATGGTCACTCGTTGGGGTAGTAAGTGTAAGTCCAAATTCTGAGTCAATTTGTCCAGTGGTTTTTGAGTTATGTTAATCCCATAAACGAACATTACATTACATTTATTTAGGTAGGTAGGTAGGTAGATAGATAGATAGATAGATAGATAGATAGATAGATAGATAGATAGATTTATTTATCAGGACTTCTATAGCTGAGTGGGAGTTTGAATCCTAGTGTATGGAGTCATAGTCCCAACATGCAAACCACTAAAAATAACTCCAATAGCAACCCCAGTGTGCACTCATAAGTGGTATTGCCTGTGCTTCATGAAAACTAATGGCGGACCTTAAGTGGCGTGTCTACCCCTGTAAAATCCAAACCTCCGGGTCTTCATGGCTCCTTCGTCTCTTCTGCCTCTGACTCTTTGGATGTGTTAACAGTTGTCCTCCACACTCTTGGGATGAAGCATTACTAGTACCTTAATCTCCACTTGTCAATAGTTCTGAAGCAAAGTACATTTGTTGTAAGCTCTCCAAATGTCAGAGCAAACCTGCTCTATGTGCTTAGCCTTAGCATTTGGCATTTACTCTTCCCAGCTCAAAAAGAGAGAGAGGCAAAGTCCTTGGACTTGGAGCGAGTGGAGTGCATTTTAATTATGAGTTGCAGGCTTCAGACACAGGAGTTGGACCAGTCAGGAGGAGAGCCCTGGCCTCCCGGTAATGGGTGTGTTTGAGTGAACAAGCAAGAGATCGGCACAGCTTTCCATATCATAGAATCATAGAATCAAAGAGTTGGAAGAGACCTCATGGGTCATCCAGTCCAACCCCCTGCCAAGAAGCAGAAATATTGCATTCAAATCACCCCTGACAGATGGCAATCCAGCCTCTGTTTAAAAGCTTCCAAAGAAGGAGCCTCCACCACACTCCGGGGCAGAGAGTTCCACTGCTGAACGGCTCTCACAGTCAGGAAGTTCTTCCTTGTGTTCAGATGGAATCTCCTCTCTTGTAGTTTTAAGCCATTGTTCCGCATCCTAGTCTCCAGGGAAGCAGAAAACAAACTTTCTCCCTCCTCCCTGTGACTTCTTCTCACATATTTATACATGGCTATCATATCTCCTCTCAGCCTTCTCTTCTTCAGGCTAAACATGCCCAGCTCCTTAAGCCGCTCCTCACAGGGCTTGTTCCCCAGACCCTTGATCATTTTAGTCGCCCTCCTCTGGACACATTCCAGCTTGTCAATATCTCTCTTGAATTGTGGTGTCCAGAATTGGACACAATATTCCAGGTGTGGTCTAACCAAAGCGGAATAGAGGGGTAGCATTACTTCCCTAGATCTAGACACTATGCTCCTATTGATGCAGGCCAAAATCCCATTGGCTTTTTTTGCCGCCGCATCACACTGTTGGCTCATGTTTAACTTGTTGTCCACGAGGACTCCAAGACCTTTTCACACGTACTGCTCTCGAGCCAGGCATCCCCCATTCTGTCTCTTTGCATTTCGTTTTTCCTGCCAAAGTGGAGTATCTTGCATTTGTCCCTGTTGAACTTCATTATTGATTTTATGGTTATAATGTATATTTGGTGTTAACTGTGTATTGATGTAATTTTGTGTTTGATTGTTTTTATGATGCAGGCATCAAATTGTGCCTTGCTTTTGTAAGCCGCCCTGAGTCCCCTTCGGGGTGAGAAGGGCGGGGTAAAAGAACCCCAAATAAATAAATAAATAAATAAATTTTGTTAGTTTTGGCCCATCTCTCTAATCTGTCAAGATCGTTTTGAATCCTACTCCTGGCCTCTGGAGTATTGGCTATCCCTCCCAATTTGGTGAAATCTTGCAACATCTTGAGTCTGTATGAAACAATCACCACTGTAAATTATATATCTGTAAAAAATATGAATGAAAGGCTCTCCGTAGATATGTTGTGTACCCATACATTTCGTTATTGCATTGTAGGTATGTGTCCGTATCTCTTGCAAGGAGTTGGTTTAACCCAGGCATGGGCAAACTTTCAAAAATATATCATATTCTATATTGTATTCTACCTTGTTCATGCCCAGGGACATGAGAGAAGCCTCCCTGTTTATTGTGTATTTTTTGTTTATGTGATTTATATTAATTGTTTTGTATTGATTATTTTTGTTATTGCCTTTGTTTACTGATGTACTGTGGGCTTGGCCTCATGTAAGCCGCACCGAGTCCCTTGGGGAGATGGTGGCGGGGTATAAATAAAGTATTATTATTATTTATTATTATTATTATATCTACTTTGCAGGGTTGGGTTCACTATTGAACATTGCGCAAAGCCCTTGGAACACTCTGAAATTATTTATAAACACTTAGCATTTACTTAGCATTGATTGTGTCCTTTTGATGCTTTGTGGAAATGTCAATATTCTACTTTGCCCGTTTTTTGAAAAGATGCATGCCGTTGTTTGCATGTGGCCAATGCAAATGTCTAAATCTTATCTCACTTTCTCTCTCTCTTTAAACCCTTTTCTATTCCAGGTTACCCAAATTTTGTCGCCACCTATGGCCGAGGATACCCTGGATTTGCACCCAGTTACAGTTATCAGTTCCCAGGTATGTCTGACTTGGATGTGTATCATGTAGGCTCAGTGTGAACACATTGAGGCTCTTGAAAAAAATATATCCTTCTAAAGTTAATGATGAGAGTTGAACATCTCTGAGAGAGGGACCCTTCGTGATGCCCAATTCCATCCATTTTGAGGGAAACACCCAAGGAAAACATATTGTAAAAGGCTTCCATGGGTTGCTGTGAGTTTTCTGGGCTGTATGGCCATGTTCCCGAAGCATTCTCTCCTGACGTTTCACCCACATCTATGGCAGGCATCCTCAGAGGTTGTGAGGTCTGTTGGAAACTAAGCGAGGTTTATATATCTGTGGAATCAGAGTCACCTTCTGCTGTCAAGAATTCAATGACTGCACGTTGCTTAAGTCGCATTGACCGACCGTCTGCGCAGGGTTCCATACTTTGCACTTTAACAACACAACCGTTCAATGCTATGGCTTCCCGCCAAAATGGAACTGTAGAGAAGAGTCTACTGAACAAGCTAGTACCTGCCGCATACCAGTACTGCCATCTACTTGACGAGTATGTATAAATATGTGAGAGGAAGCCACAGGGAGGAGGGAGCAAGCTTGTTTTCTGCTTCCCTGCAGACTAGGATGCGGAACAATGGCTTCAAACTACAGGAGAGGAGATCCCATCTGAACATGAGGAAGAACTTCCTGACTGTGAGAGCCGTTCAGCAGTGGAACTCTCTGCCCTGGAGTGTGGTGGAGGCTCCTTCTTTGGAAGCTTTTAAACAGAGGCTGGTGGCCATCTGTCAGGGTGATTTGAATGCAATATTCCTGCTTCTTGGCAGGGGGTTGGACTAGATGGCCCATGAGGTCTCTTCCAACTCTTTGATTCTATGATTCTATGATTTGTATCATCTGTATATTTGGTAATGATATTGCTAGGGATACAATCATATGTGTGCCTCCAGAACATGGCCATATAGCCCGGAAAAACCTACAACAACCCATCCAGCCTCTGTTTAAAAGCTTCCAAAGAAGGAGCCTCTACCACACTCCGGGGCAGAGAGTTCCACCGCCAAACAGCTCAGAAACAGACAAGAGTTCTTTCTCTCAGCCTGGACATTCCACAGATATATAAACCCCACTTGCCTAGTTTCCAACAGAACCTCTGAGGATTATTTTTTTTTTTGTTGTGTCAGGAGCGACTTGAGAAACTGCAAGTCACTTCTGGTGGGAGAGAATTGGCTGTCTTCAAGGATGTTGCCCAGGGGATGATTTGATGTTTTTATCATCCTTGTGGGAGGCTTCTCTCATGTCCCCGCATGAGGAGCTGGAGCTGATAGAGGGAGCTCATCCGCGCTCTCCCCAGATTCGAACCTGCGACCTGTCCGTCTTCAGTCCTTCCAGCACAGGGGTTTAACCCACTGTGCCACCGGGGGCTCTGATGCAGGTGAAATGTCAGGGGAGAATGCTTCTGGAACATGGCCAGACAGCCCTGAAAACTCACACCTAAGGAAAGCTTTTCTTTTGTGTATAATTTTCTATTGAGAAGAAAAACTAATTGATATTCGCTTTAAGTATTAATTGGTACTGAAAGCGAATATCAATTAGTTTTTCTTCTCAATAGAAAATTATACACAAAAGAAAAGTATTAATTGGTACTGGTTATTTGAGGAACAAGCAAAAGCAGTGGCTCTCCTAGCATAGAATACGCCCTCCAAGCCTTTCCGTATTTTCTGCTGTGGGATCCGCGTGCAGGCAAGGATCCGACTTGATGCTTCCCCCTTGTTTGTTTCTGCTACCCTTTGCTTCCATTTTGCGCAGCTGTCAGATCTGCTGCATTTAGCCGTCTTCCATTTGCTCACGACGTTAATGCCGCCAGTCGTCACTTTTGGGGACTCCTGAGGCTTGGAAATGGTAGGCTAGCTGGCTTTTAAGCATCCCCTCCTGCCGGTAATGAGCGGCCCCTTCCATTCCATCTCTGGCGCGATCAACAGGCAGTCACTGAAACCAAATGCTCTGAGTTTTGTTTTATGCCAGCAACACTTCAGGCTTAAACCGGAGATGCCAGGAAGGTTCGGTCTGTGTGATACTAAGGGGGGGGGGGTGTGTGCACACTTTCCCTCCCCGCTTTAGGATTTCTGGGGAGAGCACTGAAGCCAATTTCTGGCTGGTGAGCCTGCTGCTTGCTAATAGCCAAGGCCCACCTGGAGCCCACAGCGTGGACGCGGTGCCACTGTATGTTAGAATTCATTAATGCATGTCGCAAGCGTGAGGTTATGCCACCTTGCTCTGCATCCCGTAATTGCAGACATGGGGAATGATGGCCTTGCTTGGGTTAATTAAGAAACCCAAGTTCAGCGAAAATAAAAGCAGTGGGAACAGCGAGGAAAAGCAGTCCTTGCGGAAATAATATACAAGACACCAGGGAAGCCAGTGCGATCTTTAAAACTATTTATGAGTTGTTGTCGTTTAATGTGTTGTTGAAGACTTTCATGGTCGGAATCACTGGGTTGCTGTGAGTTTTGGGGGCAGTATGGCTATGTCCCAGAAACATTCTCTCCTGACGTTTTGCCCACATCTATGGCAGGCATCCTCAAGATGTTGTGAGGTCTGTAGGTGAACTATAAATCCCAGCAACTACAACTTCCAAATCATAGAATCATAGAATCAAAGAGTTGGAAGAGACCTCATGGGCCATCCAGTCCAACCCCCTGCCAAGAAGCAGGAATTGCATTCAAATCACCCCTGACAAATGGCCATCCAGCCTCTGTTTAAAAGCTTCCAAAGAAGGAGCCTCCACCACACTCCGGGGCAGAGAGTTCCACTGCTGAACGGCTCTCTCACAGTCAGGAAGTTCTTCTCAGGTTCAGATGGAATCTCCTCTCTGTAGTTTGAAGCCATTTTCCATGTCCTAGTCTCCAGGAAGCAGAAAACAAGCTTGCTCCCTCCTCCTGGACTTCTCTCACATATTTATACATGGCAATCATATCTCCTCTCAGCCTTCTCTTCTTCAGGCTAAACATGCCCAGCTTTTAAGCCGCTCCTCATAGGGCTTGTTCTCCAGACCCTTGATCATTTTAGTCGCCCTCCTCTGGACACATTCCAGCTTGTCAACATTCTCTCTTGAATTGTGGTGCCCAGAAGTGGACACAATATTCCAGATGTGGTCTAACCAAAGCAGAATAGAGGGGTAGCATTACTTCCTTAGATCTAGACACTATGCTCCTATTGATGCAGGCCAAAATCCCATTGGCTTTTTTTGCCGCCACATCACATTGTTGGCTCATGTTTAACTTGTTGTCCACGAGGACTCCAAGACCTTTTTCACACGTACTGCTCTCGAGCCAGGCATCCCTCATTCTGTATCTTTGCATTTCGTTTTTCCTGCCAAAGTGGAGTATCTTGCATTTGTCACTGTTGAACTTCATTTTGTTAGTTTTGGCCCATCTCTCTAATCTGTCAAGATCGTTTTGAATCCTGCTCCTGTCCTCTGGAGTATTGGCTCTCCCTCCCAATTTGGTGTCGTCTGCAAATTTGATGATCCTGCCTTCTAACCCTTCATCTAAGTCATTAATAAAGATGTTGAACAGGACCGGGCCCAGGACGGAACCCTGCGGCACTCCACTCGTCACTTCTTTCCAGGATGAAGAAGAAGCATTTTTTTTTGAGTGAAGGACATACATTGGGTTAGGTGTCTTGTGTCCAAATTTGGTGTCAATTCGTCCAGTGGTTTTTGAGTTCTGTTAATCCCACAAACAAACATTACATTTTTATTTATATAGATACACATTTGTATTAGGCTTGAGTAACCACGGAAAAATTTGGTTCTAAACTCGTTTTGTTTTTAGGGGGCCCTTGCGTTTCGTTTTTTAAAATAATTCCAAAATTTTCCTTTTTAAAATTTCGAAATATACGAAATTTCGTATAATTACGAATCGATTCGTTAATGGCGGGCGCAATTGCGCAATATGCTAAAAAAACCTCCAAATGGGACAGGGGGAACTTCTGAAGCTTCCCTCTCCCTCTGTTGTTGACTGTTGGTGTGATAAAACAAACAACTATAAAACTTGCACCAGACATGCGAAAATAATTACGAAATAATTACGAAATAATTACGAAATAAATTGAAAAAATTGTTTCGAATCTAATTTACTCCTCACACTATTCCTGCATGTCTCAATATTGGATCGTAAGCTAATTTAAATACGAATTAATAATGAATTACGAAATTAACGAACGAAACCGCCCAAGCCTAATTTGTTTGTTTTGCTTTGGAGCAGGTTCAAGGAGCCCCTTGCATTGGGTGAACCCCCCCCCCCCAACACATAGCTGTCAAGACATGAAGGGAGCTCTGCTGTTGACATCAAATATGTTTATTTATTTTCTATTTATTATTTATTCCATTATTTATTTATTTGTTATTTTATTTATTTCGCACCCCCCCCCCCCCCCCCCCCCGTCCTTCTCAACCCCCAAAGGGGGACTCAGGACAGCTTACATTCGGCACAATTTGATGCCATTAAGCAATATAACAACACTTAAAACAATAAACAAAACATTGTATTGTCGAAGGCTTTCATGGCTGGAATCACTAGGTTCTTGTGGGTTTTTTCGGGCTATAGGGCCATGTTCTAGAGCAGGGGTCCCCAAAATTTTAAACAGAGGGCCAGGTCACAGTCCCTCAAACTGTTGGAGGGCCGGATTATAATTTGAAAAAACATTAATGAATTCCTACGCACAATGGACATATCTTATTTGTAGTGCAAAAAACACTTAAAAACAATACAATAATTAAAATGAACAATCTTAACAAATATAAACTTATTATTAGTATTTCAATGGGAAGTATGGGCCTGCTTTTGGCTGATGAGATAGGATTGTTGTTTGGTTGTTGTTGTTTTGTTGTTGTCGTGTGCTTTCAAGTCGTTTCATACTTAGGTTGACCCTGAGCGAGGGCCGAGTAAATGGCCTTGGAGGGCCGCATCCGGCCCCCAGGCCTTAGTTTGAGGACCCCTGTTCTAGAGGCATTTCTCCTG